AAAATTTGACAAATGATCAATTTACAACATATGGATCTGCATGAAGTACATGGTTTCATTTATTTGTAAATAAACTACGAAGAACTCTTTTGTATTAACTTATAATATATTAATTCCTTTAAGCGCTTTACCAACTAACATTTGGGAATTAAAAGCGGTATTATTACCTCATCCACCCATCCAGGCAGAAGAAAAAGAGCCACTGGAGAATATCTTATTAAATTAATAAATATGTCAACCAAGTGTGACGTGAGAATATCACTACCTTCAATTAAATATTCATTTATAATTTCATCACTAGATGCCGCCTTTCCACGCTTAAGATCTTTGATCGCTCTATATACTTCAGAGCTTTTTACAACAGCATCCAGTTCCTGAAATATAGGGTTATTCGCAGTCAGGTTTTCACTAAAGAATTGCTTGCTGTTTTCATCAAACGTAATATTTTTTTCTTGTGAAAGATTCTTAAAGTACTAACAAAATTGTTCAACAGATATACTACCCCTTTCATATCTTTTTTCTTTGAAAAGTATTTCCAAAAGTCCTTTGTTTTTTTCCTCGATTTCTTACATTTTTACATGTTTATAATTATTACATTTTGATTTCACAATCTTTTTCTACAAACGCTTTTTACATAGAAGATTAATCCTGTTTTCATCAGTTTTAAATTCATCCACAGAAAAACACGAATGTCTTCCGATTCTTCTAAAGAATAAAGTTTGTCAGCACTTTTTGTTACCCGAGAAACAAGGTCTTACCACAGTTTATTAATTTTAATACCCATTTCTGATACACTTTTCTCTGCAAGTTCTAGCTTAGAAAGTCTGCTATTCATTTCATCAAACTTTGCACTCATAAATAACATAAGTTCTTCATTTGTAAAATTGTTACCAGACTGGTTTTGAACACATGGAGTTGGAGAGTATAAGTGTTGCATATTCATGGAAGTGATATTGTTCATAGTTGACCATTGTGGTGAACACTGACTCACATTGATTTTGATGATGTCATGTATTGCTGGGGGTTTAGATATCTTTCCTGTTATCCGTTGTACATTCCGATTGACAATAAGAACTGTTAAAAACTTGATCAGTTGACCCTTTGTCCAAATTTAACAATGTTAGGTACGAACCGTTCTCAACTTGTGAATTGTCAGCAACCAAAGAATGATGACTTGAAGTGTTCATATATTTCCCGCTTTTTTCTGTTCCTTTGTTCCCCTTGTTAATTTTGGTATTTCCCCTATACTTCTGTTTTTTTCTTTTCTTTTTGTCTTTATATCCACCCATAACAAATTTTAATCCAACATGAAAAAACACTAAGTCTTATAAAACACGATATGTAAAAATGAATTCTAAATACTCCGTATTTTCGACACAAATCGTTACATTATTTCTCTGCAAAAATATACGACTGACAACCTTTTCTGACCTTTGACTTCTACTTGTTATGTGCGATATATATGACTGATTTTGCAGTATTTATCACCATATTTCTACTGCGTGACTAACGCATAATTAAGGCTTATTTTTGCATTTTTGACATCTTTAGTAATTTAAATAAAAAAATTGTGTAATGTGTAACTAGAGTTAAAATATCAAAGTATCATTGTGAAACAAATGGAAAAACGAAGTCAGCTTCTCTATATCTTAGTAAAATATTTTTTCTAAATTAGAGTTGCAATATTCTTTTTAAACTGATCATTTCCTCGTCTTTCCATTTGCACACCAAAGACAGTACCTACACATGTATCTGTTTTTTCACGTCTTTCCATATGTACACCACAGACAATGGTAGTCATAATTGTTATTATTACCACTCACTTTTTTCGTAATGCTAATTTCCCATAGGCCTCTGGGAGTTATTTTTACTGTTAATGCAAGTGTACCACGTGACTAAGAATGAATTTTGTACTGTTACATAGGTAACAGTATTTTTTAAGAGGTCACGTGGTCTATTTCCTTAATAAAATGAAATAAAATAGCCGCCATTTTTTTCTCGATTCATTATTATTTTCAACGTTAAACCCCGATAGGACATCAATTTCTCCAATTGCAACTACTCGGCCCTTTCCGTCAGTCTTCGGAAAAGGACCTCGAACACAATAATATGAATACACAGAACGGATGCGGTATTTCGGTCTAACCTACGCTAAGAAACTAAACATATAAACAAATAGTAATTTAATGCTTGGAGTTGTTGACAAGTTTATTTCCAATATATGTAGTAAAAGTCCACCTAAAATAAGCGAATTCATAGGTACAAAAGCAAATAGTACATTATTTATAATTTATTATTATGGTTGTTGAAACCGAAAGTACAAAAAACCAACCTGTTGACATTTAGTCGGATTTGTATAAAATTGAACATCAGTGGGCATACTTAAATTACAAATTGTTGTCAGACATATTTTCAAGCATAAGAGTACCGGGTCACACATTAGATGTCAAATATATACATTCGTTTTACATTATCTCCGTTTCTGTTTACATCTGACACCACGTGGTAGAACTACTTTCAATCCGTATTGTTTCCGAGGTTATTATAGATAATAGCCGAGGCAGTTCCGAATGCAATTTCTCCTTTGGAGTCACTATGACACTCATAAAATTTAGTTGTTTGAACCCTGGTGTGCTTTTCGCGTATAATATATCTTTTTGTTGAATAGTCAAAAAGTGAACATCCGTTTTCAACGGAAGTAATTGCAATGTAAATAATTATGTCATATGTGTCAAACTGGAACATGCAGACGATTTAAGCATGCAACAAAGGATTATTTAACAAATTTAATCAGTGAAACGTTACAGATAATTATGGTGGACATAGGATATCATCGTTATTTTGTCAAAACCATGCTAAGAATATTCTGGAAACAGAAGGATCAGAGTTCACAGATCATAACCGTGTAAATGGCTTAGTGTTTTGTTTCCTAAATAAAACCTAGCTTATTGTATGTTTATGATTGTAGATATCATCACTTGCTTAAAGAATAAAAGAAAAAGAAAACTTCTCAAGTAGGCCTACAGTAAAGCACACTTAAAACTTAAAAGGTAAGGACAGTTTAGTTATTGTTACTTACTTGTTTATTTTTGTTACAGTTAGATTTAGTTGTCAATTTCAGATCATCTCAGTATTTTTGTTCGGGGTAATAAAATAAATAACACATGGGTTTGTGAGTAACAGTAAAAATATCATCCCTCGTAAAAATACTGTTACCCTCGGCTACGCCTCAAGTAACAGTATTTTCCTCGGGATGATATTTTTACTGTTACCCACAAACCCACGTGTTATTTATATATTATCATCGTTTTATGATGTTCAAAATATGGAATTATTATTGTTTGGCAATATTGACCTGAGACCCATTAACTTTCGGAAGCTTTTACGTTATTGTCCGCAATTTATTACGATTTACTAACTGATTTTTAATGATAGGAAAGTTTCAATAAACATCCCGATGGCCTAGCGGTTAGTATGATAGCATAGCAATCCCCAAGTTGTAAGTTCGAAACACAGTAGTGGATGGGTCATTTGTTTAAATTCTTGTGCATTTTCTTTAAAAAATAATTACTTTGATACACATGTATATAGATGTACATGTTTATGTAAATTATCATAATTTCAATTTGTACAGTCGTACAATGGGTGCATGGTTGGCATGCAAAAAAAATCACCAGGATCATAGTAGTTAAGTTTCGCAAAATGTAATATTGAAAAAAAGTTTCATAAAGAGTCCAACATACAACGTTCAATTATGAACTAAAAGTCTTAACTCCTTATCATTGAAGCTATTTTGGCAAGTGTTGTGTCGGTAACTTTAAGTTATACATTAACCATGGATACTGTTTTGCCTGCCATACTTATGATTTTTACTTCGGAATCCGACAATTACCGACAAAAGGCCATTGATTATTCAAATGTCTCAGGTCAACATTGCCAAACAATATTATCATACTTTTCTCATGTTCAAAATATGTATTGTTTTGTCTTGTGCCGCCAAAATACTGTATTTAATGACGATAAACATTGTATATCTGTTACAGCCAAATAGAAAATAATATACGTACATATATAGACTGTAAGTGCCGTTTGCAATGTATAAGTTACATTATAAGTTTACTTCACAATATCAAACTTTTATATACATTTCAAAATTTAGCACGAATCTGGAAGCATACTTCTTTAATGGTTTTCATTATGACTTTATGTTTGTGATTATTATTTGTAACATAATATTAATTTATTACATATAGCTCGGAAGTAGCGATAGAGCAATTTACCGTATACCTCTGAAAGGGGTAGCTCTATCATTTACCAGGCCTGAATAAACAATCTCCCTTTGCCACCAGTTACACCACTAAAACGATCGTTTCTGTAATAAACCGTCTTCCTCTTTACCGAAACTTTCATCACGACCTTACAACACCGCGACCACGACCGTTTTTAAAATTTATATCCCCCGCTCATTTTATCGCTGTTATCTTAAACAATCTCTCTCACACTATTAAGGTCAAAACTAAAATTATCTATAATCTTTCTTAAAATTACGTTACAGTGTCATATAATTGAGGTATTGGTCATTGTCCCAGGTCTTATAGGAAGGTAAATCGAAACGTTTAACGATATATTCTAATGCCGTATCGACTTGTATTTGTGTAAAACTAAAACCGTATTTGATAATCAAACAATTTCTGATTTTATTAAACTAAAAATATCGACTCTATTAATTAAAAATCACATTGTTATTTTTCAATCGTTCAGTATTTTGAGGTTATTATACAATGTTGATTACAATACTGATTTCTATTTGACGAGAACACAGCTGTCAAAACTATATTGGACCGGGCGCTAGACAAGTCTGATAGTGTACAAGTCCAATATATCCAGTATTGTTTTCAAACATGAATTATCTTTTTATTTAAAACCACCATTTCAAGCATTTTGACAGGACTTTGTTACTTCAAAAACTATATGAATTCGATTTGATTTTTTGGAATGATATGCATTTGGTAAGCTATTTTGGACCTCTAAAAATGAAATATATTATGGAATATATTTTGACTTTTTGCACTCTTGAAATGAGGCTAAATTGATAGGATTGGATCACATAATGATTTCTTTTGAAACATCACATGGGGCAAATGCTGAAAGTGCATTGGTTATTTTTATAAGGTGTGAAATGAAAACTTTATGGACTCTGTTAAACCTAGGACTCGTCCGTACGATGTCTTCTTTCATTTATTTCAGGCCCACGTGCGATAAAGGTGTTCATTGATCATGATGAATCTATATTTACATCTGATCGTAGCGTGTCTGCAAGTAACAAGTTATGGCAAGTTCCTTTCTACCAAAATTACCTGCATTAGTTTTATCTATTAAAATTAATCTTTGAATTATAAATATTTTTGAAAGTTACAGTGAAACCTCTGTTAAAGACCAAATGGGAATAAACATCACCATGTGAATAAAGAAGACGTTTCAACAATCCCTTATGGATTAAAAAGAACAAAAGTACCTTCAAATTATGACCGATTGTCAATCAAAACTTCTGGCTTTGAAATTTAATTCAACTCGTTCAAAAAATTCAGTTTTGAACCTTCACTCATTCATGATCCGGTTATCTTATATTTACAGGATGTACAGGGAACGTGAAACAACGGGGTTTCACACCAAAAACCACTGTTCAAAGTAAGACTTTATTACGTTTTATACACCTATATGTTCATATTTGTAAACAATAAAAAAAAAATAAAAACAAAAGAAAAAACAACAAAAAAAAACCAAAACAATGTTCTCAGTCCGTGGGTCAGTGCACCCGTGCGTCCGTTCGTCCGTCCTAATTTTGTCGGGCGCATAAGTCGGTAGGAAGTGTACGTTGTAGGAACAATAACTTTGTCTTTATTTTGTTGAGTTATTATTCCCATTAACTAGGTTTACTTAAACAAAATATTTGAGCATAACTCCAGATGTACTTGAATGTTTTTCTTCAAACCTAATTCACTGACACAATTAAAACAAAATAGATTAATCACATATACTTTGCTATTCATGCTAACCTTCTCTTTATTGCCTTATTATTTTTCCACTTTCATTAAAACTGTACTTAGTATGCCCATAAATTCTAGGCATTTTAAAGGATTTCCTCTTACCATGTAAAGGTACAACCTTCAGGTAACTTCTTTATAGCCAGGGAATAACCATATGTATCATGGCTCTTGTGAAAATAGAAATCACGCTGTCTTATATAAATGTGTTTCACGATTGATATTGAACTTAATGATATTGGACGCGTTCTCGCATAATATCAAAAATACCGTACAGCAAAAGAAAAAGGATAATGCCACAGAAACACAACAAATTAAAAAAAAACTAAATGTCACGTGATCGATGAAGTCTTGATAACAAAAGAAGATCATTTCACAAGTAAATTATACTTCCTCTGGCGCTATCCAAATAGCCAGGCACGTTGTAGTTTGGAATATCAAACCCTAAGTTAAACTCCCATCCATCGTTGACAGTCATATCCCCCGCTATTGCTGTCAACGCATTGCTTTGGTAACAGAAATTTGTTCAGAAATTTATTCGATACTTCTTTCCCTTTCCGGTGGATAGCTACAGAATTACAAATGACGGATTCTTAAAAGGTAACAGCTGAGACACTGTGCTTGTTTTGTACTGATGCAGTTTTACCCAGTGACTGTAACGTCATAACAAAATGTGGACCACATGAGGTAAAACAGACTATACATTAAGTTTGTATGCTACTAAATCTAGATTTTGTTTAGGAAATAGATTTGCTAAAAAATCTATATAATCTGTGAATTACTTGTCATAAAACTTGTCTGAATTGCCCAGCAAGGAATAACCAACCATTCATGCGAATATGTTATAGAGAATTAGGTCTTTAAATTTTGTGAATTTGACAATAAATTTTCAACAGTATTATTTAGTTATACATGTATTTGCCTGAATTTTATTAAGTTATTTATGAGAATAAATGAAAGTTTTCTCAAAATGGTCTGAATCTTTTTTGATGGTGGTGTGTAGTTTAAAATTAACGAACTTGGTTTGGGAAGTGAGAGCGACTGATTTTTATTTTGGTTTAAATTTATTGCTTTATTATTTGTACTTGTACTATATCGAATAAGGTTTATGTCTGTTTAATGTCTATTTTAAAACATGTTATTTTGTATTAAAGAGATGTTATGTTAACAGTTACGTCACTTCAATTGGAACAATCAGATATAATCTGGGATGTAAAGACTCGCAGGTAACTTAGCTAAATTTAGTTTATACAAATTTATTATAGTTCGATTATATTGGAAGCTATTAGCTAATTTAAACACTTTCGAATCCGTTCTTGGAACCAACTAGTACTATGCAATGAATGTAAAGTTTCTTGCTCAAGGAAACAACGGCTTGACAAGGTTTGAACCCACACGGTCAGCAATACTTAGTTTGCTATTCCGACGTGTAAACCCCTCGGTCATGCCGCCACTCTGAATTTGTGATTTATATATTCACTCAACTAAATGTCTTAACGTTCATTCTATGAAAAGTTTATAAACTAAATTTTATGATGGAAATCAGTTCAAAACAAACTCTTTCAGAAGACAACTGGCTTGTAAGGGAGATAACTAGTATAAATATGACCAAAATGACATGCCAGGGTTGTCTCCCTTTTAATAAACTGCATCAATGAAATATAAGATCTCGTATAATGAGGATATTCAAGCTTTTTCTATAAATAAAGGATATATTTTCATCGAGTGGTGAAAATGAATAGTTCATGAGTGACGGTAGCAACGAGTGAAGTATGATAATTTTCATACCACAAGATGAAAATATATCCTTCATTTATAGAAAAAAACTTGAATTTTTTGTTAATTATAAACATTTTTTTTTTATACAAATGTATTTCATGTTGAAGATTTTCGCTTTAATTTTGTGTATTTGCTGAATTTAGAAAACAAGTAGTCCGGCAAGAAACCAGTGAAAATACGGAAAATATGTTTCAGTGCAGTGAAAAATTTTTACTATACAAATACAAAAAAATGAAAATACGCATTTTATTTCATCAACATTTCTCAATATTTCATTTATAAGAATATGATAAAATACATGTATATACACTCAGCTAAACGCTTAACGTACATTTTATGAAATTCCTTTGTAGGAAATGCATTTTATTCATAATTGTATAGTCTGCATTAAGTTATTTGTACATTGTAACAATAAGAAGATATTTCTACGAAAGACCTGTGTGGACATTTCAACTTCATGAATTCCCGATTTCATATTCGAGAATTCACAATTTTGACGTTGTGAATTCACGTTTTCAACATACGATATCCATGAATTTTACGATTTCAACTTCATAAAGTTACGATTTAATCGTCATGAATTCACGATTTCAACTTTTCCAAATCCCTCCAGAAGCGTGCACGTCGCGGAGAAGGCACACGGCAGGTCAAGGTCAAATCATCTCAAGTACTAAAGGTGATTTGTTTACCTGTCGTGACTAACTCTGGAGGGTGGCGCTAACAAGAGCCGGTTTATGTCAACCGCCTGTTTGCAGCCGTCACGGAACTTGATGCTTTTCCGGTATTGTCTTTCCTCCATCGAACGAAGTACAGGACTTAGGAAGATCGGCATGAAAAAGACGTCCCCGATGAGACTTCTAGAGTGGACCGGCATGGACGCTGAGATCTCGGACATATGGAATTTCCGGCGCCGAGCTAAAATAAACCTAATACAACAAAGATTTCAACTTATTCAACTACGCGATTTCGCGTTTTGAGCATCACGATTTCAACTTCACGAATACACGATTTCAACTTCACGAATTTACAATTTCATCTCCATTAATTTAGCTTTATGAATTCATGTTTTGAATTTAACAATTTAATATTTAAGAAGTTGAATTTGTGAAGTTAAAATTGTGAATTCGTAAAGTTTAAAATTATTCATGAAATTGTGAATTCATGAAGTTAAAATTGGATATTCGTGAAGATGAACACGAGAGTGCAAGGATTTTGAAATGTCACCACCGGTCTGTCGTAGATATCTACCTTAATCGTTTCAACAAATACGAGAAAAACAAAGGTTATTTATATTACAATATTCTTAGAAATGCGACAACACAATTTTAGTTGGCAGACGAGAGGAACCATCTGGTCAAAATACATTACTATCACGTGACAATTCCCCACATTCACTGGGCGATGACGTCAAAAGAGCGACTGGGACTTTGATATGCGGGGAATGTTGCGTAGGAGAGTTATGCAACAGTGCTGGGTGTGGGAACACTGGTATATTATATGTCATATTATTACATTTATTCAATTTAAAAGTAAAAATGGATGGGTTTCCTAAATAATTAGGAACTTACTTGAAAAAATATTCCATCTTTCCAAAAACGTTAGTCGGTTTGTTATCTTACAGGAAAGAATTGTTCCTTATTGGCGGGATTAGAACTTTCACATCGGTGACGTCAAAGTGGTTACAATTTCAACGATTTTAAACACTTAATAAGTAAAAAGTCCATTTATCACCAGTAATTTAGCCTTTTACGAGAGATGAAAATATAAATAAAATAACGTGTACATTTCAAGTTGACGTAATCAAGATTATCCTATCGACGTATACAAAATAACAACGTCATGATGTGAAACGTGTCTGGCATATTCTTAGCAAAGAAAATCAAAAACAAAACATGTCATTTATCACATAAACAGCGGCACAGGAGTGTAATAAAGCCATTTAATAAAAACGATATTACACTAGACAATATTACACTAGTGTAATAGCACTTTGACGTCACGTCATTTGCGCTATAAACACAGCGTTAAAGCGCGCTAATGTTAGCGTTACACTATAGGCGCGTCAAAGAAAAATGACTCTTTTTAACAATTTACCGTTCTTATTTTATGTATGTGATAAATAGAATATTATATTCGTGTAGATTCAATACTAAATTTATTGAACGAGTTGAATAAAAGAATATTATGCCCGCCAGAGGCTCGCATAATATGATTTTATTCAACTCGTTCAATAAATTTAGTATTAAACCTACACTTGTTCAATATCCTCTATTTAAAAAACTACAAACAAAACATATTGATCACTATGGTCTACATAGCGCACGCTGTCGCACATTTCTTGACGTCGTTGACGTCGCGTCATTTGTATTTTTAGACGCCGTTTACTAAATAGGCGACATGTGTACCATACGACTATCATGCTTTCATGCTTTTTATACAAAATATTTCACTCGCTCTCGATGGCTGGAAAACGACTGTAAACAATTGCTGGTCATACAATGTGACAATAACTGGTGGCTGCACGATCGAAACCGCAATTCTTCTAGGTTTTTCTTTTAGAGTTATATATAATTTAACATGTGACGCAAAATCTTCGTGCGCCACATATATGTTACTATGGTCATAGAATCGCATTGCAATTTTTAATATTTTTTTTCTATCTTACCTAATTAATAAAATGGTCCGATTTTTTTCAATATGTAGTTTACTAAATTTAAATCACCTCTGTCTGAGCAACAGCAACAATCTACGTTATTTTAGATCATTCCTCGTATATGCATAGCTATCATTTGTTGTCAGTTGTTCTTTTCTGAATCCATTCAATTTCACTAATACAGGATTCCCAGCTCAAAGAGGCCCAATTTGCTACAGTTGTCAGGAGCAAAACGGTACGAACGATTGCAATAAATTAGCCGTGTGTGGTCGAGATGAGGTGAGTTTAAGATAATATTATTAACATCTCCTTGTTAGCGTTTATGTTATTAGTTATGAAGATTTTATACAGGTTATATACCACCATATAACCGGTCAGGAAAATATTTATAACGAATTTATAATACAATAATACAGCAAACTTCCTTTTCGGAGCAAAAAGTAAGATTTCTTTATTAAATAATAGCAACCATGTATGTTATTAGTTATAAAGATTATAAAGTTATATCGCCCTATATAAACGGTTGTTTGTAAATATAGATCGAGTCGCCAGGCGAGGGTTATATTGAAAACAACCGTTTATATTCGGTCATATAACCTGTCAGAAATATTTAAAATGAATTTATAATACAGCAAACTTCCTTTTTAGAGAAAAACGTGAGATTTCTTTATGAACTGACCTGACAGCAGCCGTGTATATAAAACTATATAATATATAATTATCTAATGAAAAGTGACGTTACAAACGTGCAGATTAAAATAACAAAAAAAAACAATGTAAACGTCATGATTATCCATTGAAAAGCGACGTTACAAACGTGCAGTATTATAAAAAAAATACAACATATAAACGTCACGATTATCCAATGAAAACCGACGTTACAAAACGTGCAGACCCGAAATATTCAATTTTAATGCAATATATATTGTCTTGTCTGTCAATTTTCTATTCCGATGGGTGCATGATATGGATATTTTCATAGTAAAACATGGGAAATAAAGAGATATTTTCAGTACAAAATGCACCAACGTTAGTTTGATGACTTACGTTTCTGACCCTTTTTTAATGAAGAAGAAAATATGTCAAAGATGACAGAAATGATGTTAATGTCATGGTATCAATTGGTTAAAAAAACTCAATACCCCACCCAGTTGCGAGTTTAATGATGAACATGCTCGAAACCTTTGGAATAAGAATATATTTTAGCTTTTATTGGACTATTTGTACACATCAAATTCATTTAAATTACAATAATTATATATTTTACTATGCTAATAAATATCATTGTAAACGTTATTGTTAGAATGTACGTAACAAATGATTATTTTGTTTTATGAATAATTATCATTGTTAATTGAAGGTCTGCATGCTAGTTGCAACTCAAAACCCAATGACGCATGCGCACAGGTATCAGACAAAATGTGAAGGGAAACAGGTTTATCATTTTGTTATTTATCATATCATTTTCGAAAAGTTTTATTTTCGAAACAACTCCGTAAAAGCAATGAAAATATTTTGCTCAGTTCAGTGTAGTGAGGTATCGGATGTGACATTTTACTTTTAAAATATCCCCGTACTGCCACTTTCCGATCAGCAAACAGATTTTTCTACAATAACTGACAGTGAAATTATAAAACATTTTTTTTTTCTTTTACAATTCTACAAATATCATCGTTTCAGCTAATAAATTCAAAAACTTTTTTTTTAAACTTTTAACTGAATTATTATTAAGTATCAATAATAAACCATTACTGACCCCTTTTTCAAATTTTCACTGCCACTTTTCAAATCAGTTAACAAAGTATATACTGTACCACATAAAAAAATGTTATACAATGTTAAAATATAACCAGTTATGTATTTTGAAGAAATTTTGTCTAAGTCAACTTCAGATAAATTTTAATAAACATTTTTAACTTATTTATGATGCCAGTTTTTAATCTTGATATCTATTTGCAGTAGTAAAGTAGTGACAATTGGGGTATGGAAGTAAATCTCAATTGCAAAAACCTGTAAAAGCAAAAATCACTTGATTTTTTCCTTCTAGTGACTGCTTACTGAAAAGTTATCCGAGAGAATGTTTTATTTTGACTGTTGCTTTACTGACGTCTTACGTTCCAATTAAGAATTGTGCGGTAAAATATTAGCATATTAAGATTATAGCTTTTAAAGTGCAGTATACATTATGACTTAATAATAGTGAAACAGTTGACCAACCTTATACCCATTTCTGCAGACTGACAAAAAACTGAATCTGTAAATCAAATATATTTAGAAAATTATTGCGATTTGTAACTGGGTACAGTAAGGATTTGTGGAAAAGGTTTATTTAAAATATTTTGAACTAAAATACTGTTGTTTTTTTATCGCCACAATTGACATAGTTGCTGATAAATGTAGTCCAGTAAATACAAGATGTGCTTACAGTTTGGTTACATGACATATAAGGTCAATTTCTAGAGATGATTGAAAAGTGGTTGTGATTGAAAACTGGCAGTATGGGGATATTGTGGGGGATATTGGTCAGTTACGTCCCTTGATTCGGCAGGTGCTCGATAGGTGGCGCTTTTGTTGATTTGGTCTGTGTTAGATAAGAAAAAACAAACTTCAAGATTAACATAATGCAGATTATTTCATTAAAAGTTGATACAATGGCATAGTTATCATCAGCTGTCAATACGCCCGAGGATATCTGCATACAGGACCAAATTGAAGACAGCGCCACCTATATTACTTAGCGGGACAGATAATCGAGCAATGTTTGCCATTTGTAAGTTTATTTATCCATTAACATAAATAAAGTAAAATGTTTAATCTATATTAATCTTTAGATAATCAGTTGATCGGACATTAAATTCATCTATTACAATTCAGTTTCAAAAGTTAGAGGAATGAAATAGTGTCATGGCAACATAAAACATTCATTTGCTTCATTTTGTGTCTGACTGTAAATTAATCATCTAGAATAGTGCATTCTCTCTGTTTAATATGTATAGTCCACCCTCAACCATACCGCCCCATAGACTATATACGCATGCCAAAATTGAATGTTTCGCAATTCTTCATGTTATAGACTTGTACTGAAAGAATAACACAATTTTCTATTCAATTTATAAAGAGATGTGAAGACGAAATGGGCCGGCGTCAGACGCCATCGTTATCTATATTTGGAAGGAAACGGGCGTCAAATACAGGTAAATACATAAATACACGTATTGGCCAAAAGTCAGAAAAAAACTTTGTTTTTGAATCATTTTAAAAGGTATAAGGATATATTTTAAAGAGAGTGTGTAATTTGATATGTATAATATAAATCTACCTTCTTTTATTTGCAGGTATCAACTGCGAAGTTGAGTGTTGCAGCGAAGATTTATGCAATACAAAATGCACCCCGCGAGGTAGATAATACATTATAAAATGAACCCCAATAGGTAGATAATAGAATAGCTCAATCGGATTGAGCTTGAGACATTGTGGGTTTGACTCCCGGGCTGGCCAACTAAAATTACTATCCAGTCTTTCGGATGCGACTTTAAATCGAGGTTCCTTGTATGGGTGCTGAGACACTTGGCACGTTAAAGAACTATGAGAATCTTCTGAAATTGGGGGCATCTTTCTGTATTCAACTCCATGTGTATATGTATTCTACACCATCCTCCAAAATATAAAAATGCACTTATACTCTTCTAGAGGACTCGCCCATATGGGTAATAGGTGGCGAGTATAAATAAACTCAAATACACACATGTTGATAATTATCAAAAGAAAATCTTATATAAAACACTGTTTCCCTTCTTAGATTTGCGCTGTAAGATGAACTTTTACGAGTTTGTCTAGTTTGATATGACTGTTCGATTGGCTTAAGGTGACACCGCAGTCAGTTATCACTAAAATAGCTTAAATGAGATTTTTTAGTATATTTATTAACCTTTTCTGAATACATTCGTAATTTAATTTTGGAAGCAGTTTGTCCAGAAACTATGTTTTTAAACGTTTTAAAACGATACCTATACCATTTTTATTCGCTATGCGCGTATCCTGTCAATTATTGATAACGCGCCGCCCCTTATTGAGGCATTAATGAGGGACATCGGATGTTACATATATCCATGATTATCCGGTTTTTTTTGTTATTTGGGGACTCCGTGGCCGAGTGGTTAAGGTCGCTGACTTGAGATCACTGGTCCCTCACCGCTGTAGGTTCGATCCTCAATTGGGTCGAAATCTTTCATGTGAGGAAGCCATCCAGCTGGCTTACGGAAGGTCGGTGGTTCTACCCGGGTGCCCGCTAGTGCCTGAAATAATGCCCGGAGGGGCACCTGGGGTCTTCCTCCACCAATAAAAGCTGGAAAAAAATCGACGAAAAAATCTCGGCGGGACGCTCTAGGATGGCCCGACTTGAGTGTACGGTCGCCCATATGGGCTTTCCGGCGGCGACCTTAAATAAACGCATTAAAAAAATTGTTATTAGTCGATACTACTACTCGTCATACTTGTATCATAAAAATACTGTACATCTTTCAACATTATTTCGGCTGCCATTTACGAGTAAGTAGCCTTTTTATAAATTAAGAAATTGTCGGCCAATATTTAACAAATAATTTAGCATAGCGCTAAATCGCACCACCATGAGATGTAACTGCCAATCTATCCATAATGTGTGAAATAATAATTTATTTATCCAGTAATCTGATAGACATTACATTGAGTTTATGTACTTAAGTACGGATTCAAAAGCTTTCTTTACATTCAACCTCATTTTCTAACAATGTCAAAAGAAACAGACAACATTTTTATGTGAACGCCTATGTATGACGAGTGTCAGGTGTCCCTCAGAAATTTCTAAAATATTTTTACGATAGCCTTCTGATGGTTAAATTTTTATGAATCAATAAAAAAGATATGAAAACATCTTTTCAGTGTACGCTTTGAATTTATTGTTCACTAGTAAATCGAACACAATTTATTGTATGTCCCAGAAGAAATGCTATTCATAGATTAAAATTCAGTATTAGTAAAGTCAAGAAGATCATATTGATCGAGTAATACCTTTTATTTCTATTAAATTATGTCAAGCATTTATATGAACTGATCGGACAAAAATATATAATATCACGTTCTTATTTGCACACCGTACCATGCACGGACTTTAAAAGTCTGTCAGGAGCTCAGGTTTTCGTTGTTTTAATTTATATTTTAACAGAATTTCATACACGAATACACAGGCTAAGTGGCACTGATTTTTTTATCCCCACAGCAGTATTTCCCCCCACCGAGTGCCTCAAATTTTACCGATAGACATGTGACATGTGCTACAGATACTAGACGGACAGTAAATCACGTTAAGATTTGAAGAAATTTCTGCTATAAAAGTTGTTAAGAGTATGTTACCGCATTGTGTCACCCCCTTTGCTGCGATATTAGGGTGTTATACAATTATTGAACGAAAAACGCTGAGAGAGAACAGCCGATTTTTGACACTTCGCCTGATGCGCGTCGGACTAACTTTGAATCGGCATAACTTTTTTTTAATAAACAAGTAATATACATGCGGTTTAAAACAGAACAGAACAGAAAGCACATGCAAGGGAATTCATTTACGGAGGGAACCGTGTCAGAGATTTTTGTTTGCTCAATCAGCGACTTAATTATCTTTAATGGCTTATGTATGGTGAAAAAAGTCGCAAAAAATGTCTGACGTTACGTAATTTTTTTTGAGAAAAGATAGATGTAATGCACAAAATTTAAATAATATATTTTGAAAATAAAATTGTTTACATGACATTTATTATGGTATACCACGGAAAGTGTCTGTTGTCTTACTTGCCCACGTCGTTTCAGATACGTCCGTCTGTACTGGATTTGGCGCTTTGCACATACAGTCTCTTGATCAATATCTTACAAAGTAAGTTATCAGTTTTGAACATATTTCTTATTGCATTTTATTGAAATTTTGATTTCGCCATTTTTTTCGTTTTTTCCGAAGAAATGATAACATGCTCTTTTAAGAGTTGTAATATTGTCAAATTTTTAAAAACGTATTTTTTTATTTTATTTTTTTACATTAATTCAATTGGAGCATGTCAAAAACTCATGCAAATGATAAATGAATTACATTACAATGTTTCTCACGATGCTTAGTCAGTATTTATTTTTATTGGTCATTTTTTGCAAGATTAAATTCTGCACAGTAGTTAATGGTTCAGACCTACATACGGTGTTCCGTTTGGACTGGTGCGTTTTCTCTGAGAACGGAAGCGCGAAACATGACAATACGATGGTGACAATTCGGCAGTACGGTGGTGAAAGTTCAACAGTGCGATGGTGTCAATACGACAGTGCGAGGGTGTCAATACGACAGTACGATGGTGTCAATACGACGGTACGATGGTGACAGTACGACGATACGATGGACAAACACGACAGTACTATGGTGACAGTTAATCGTACTGTCGTATTGTCACCATGGTACTGTCGTACTGTCATGTTTCGCGCTTTTCGTTCACAGAATAAATGCTCTGGCCCTGACGAAACACAGCACCTACACTAAATGATACATTAATCTCGACAAAATATATTCGAGCCACGTGTTTCCAGGTTATTCATTCCGATGGAGCTCTTTTAGTATGTCATCTTTATAGATGTATAGTCCAGAAAGGTTTACTTGAAACTTAAATATGATAATTTCATCGAGTGTTATGAAAATAGGAATTTTACGATTGACGGTACCCGAGAGTAAAATATGATAATTTTTAGATTTTTCGTACTACAAGATGAAAATAAAACCCGTATATAAAGCTGCACGCGTCCAGATGGGCTAAAAATCCCCTTTTCTGTTTCATAACAATAATATAAGTATAAAAATGCAATTATTATTAAATAGATTTAAATTTGTGTATTGCACTTTTTATAACAGGAACTCAACCTATAGGTTTCCGATCGTGTTACCTGGAAATTTCGGAGACTATATTTTGTATAAAAGTACAGCTCGAAAATTTCAGGTAAGACAAACTGTCTGTCCTTTTTTGATAAGTCCAAAATTTGATGCAAAAATGAATAAATGGGTTTAGTTATTTTTGACCAAAGAGAATGCCTTAGTTTAAAAACTCGCTTACACATTCCGTATATATACTACATTTACCGCTACTGGTATACGGTATATAGCCTGGGTTACAGAGGATTTACCATACACTTAGCTGGATCAACGACTATGGCTAGTTAAATCAGTTTATTAGACGGCTAGTAGATATCCATTATTCCATATAGCAATGGGGGAAAATTTTAGACTTGATTTTGTGCATTTTATTTTGTTTTAACGAAATCACATTGTTTTCAAATTTTCAAATAAAAATAGCTTTTCTTATTTACAACACGTCCTAGAGCTTTAAGGGATTAAAATAAACGTTTAACTGAAATGATAGTACCATGTTTAAATATCCTATATCTAATTTTATCTACCTAATAAATAACGTGCCAATGAGCCAGTCTATAGTCGATAGTTCTAAAACTTAACGGTTGAGAAAGGTAACGGCTGAGGCAATGTCACTTCATTTGCTCCGCCTCTGTTGAAATTCGGCTCCGCCTTAAATTGTCGCCATATTTAATATGATGCTCCGTATGCTAGCATTTAGTCTTCGTTGACGGGGGGACCAGGACAATTATGATCAATATAACTTGACAAATCATTAAATTACAAGTTACACAGCCTAAACCACGCCAACTATCAGAGAGGCGGTTCTCCCTCAACCCTAAGCTCAACACAGACCTGACTATAGTCAATACGTATTAAAACTACCACATAAATACTTTCTGAAATAATGACGTAACAATTGACGTCACGATAAAATAACACAAATGTTCTTTAAAAGTTCACACCGTACAATCAAATGGGCAGACAGCTGTTCAACCATCGACAGCCGTTCATTTAAACTGCCGAGAATGAGGCGTTAGGGACTTCGGATTTATTACTTTATCTTACGAAATTAACCGATATTTTCCGATTTATTACGACTCGTTATCCTTTACTAATTTTGTTCTTTTTCATCTAGGTTCAAATAAGAACAGAGCCATATGTGCATTCTAACATCAGTTATGCTATCATATGTGCAGCTGCAATTCAAGAAAATAATGATATCATCATCTTCAAATACTTGTGCCATGGTCCGGGTACACCAACAATATCAATACCTGGCAAATTGACTGCAGGAACGATCATCCAATCTTCACATGCCCATACACGGGTAAGCTGTATCATGTTTTTCACATAACCAAAATATGGCACGAGTGAGAAATGCATCCTAGTCCACGTTTCAAACACCAAATTACCTATAGTTTACAACAAAAATGAATGAAGAACCTATTGTCCGGCTTTTCGAGTTGGATATGCGGATTAACTACCTAAATTAGTGCTGTGAGAAAATTGGATATTTAATATTTTCCTTATATTTTTTCCTTTTATCTTTCAATATTTGATTAACAAGTATATACCGTGTTCCAGGTAAATATTTACCAATTCTAGTGGTATATAACTGTCCATTGCAGCTGAGCTAATTTTTCTTTGTATGTCATTATCACTTTATCACATTGTCATGCAGTTGAAAGATCCGAGATTACTACCGGTTCGGAGTGGCAGAACTATATTTGGTTTTGGGGATCTGTATCAAAATTCTCGCTTAAAGGATATTTACAAAATTAACAAGAAAATCTTTATACGGCTTTGAAGTAATTTACTCATACTGACTAAAAGCGTTGACATGTATGATGAAAAAGTAATAAATACTCGAAAAATCAATCTACAGTAGAAATAATTTATTAAAAAGACCAAAGTCTAAAAATTGCATCAACTAAAATATGAAAATATGCTTGCTTCCATACTATTTTATGACAATTGAAACCTACGTTTTGGTGAATACTGAATGCACTATCATGTAATTGCGAATTCCTGTTCCTTGTGTTCCTTTCTGAACCATCAAAGCGGCATATTTTAATATAAGGACAACGTATTTTGCCCGGCGTTTGAAAGAACATTCTTTTGCTAAAAGTTTGGTATAAATCTGCCTCTTACATTGTCGACACTATTTCACAATAAATAATTGATTTTGATCAATACTTTGTGAATTTGACATGTCTTATTATTCTTTGGAGAGGTTATTAGACCTCTCCACAGTGTTATTGGCATCAATTTTTGCGTATCAAATTGAGGCTTATGCATCGCATTTTAAGCCTTAAATCATTAGAACCAGCTAACAAAAATTGCTAGGCGCATACTACGCTTCAAACATATGACTGAACTTAGACGAGAAATTAACATCGAAGTGAAACAATCGGTACAAGGAAAAATCGGAATATACAATTTACGTTACTTAACAGTACGAGAAATGGTTATTCTGTATAAATATATACAACCATGCATTATTATATGACCGATTGAACCATGTACTGAAACTCTGCTGCCCTGAACCGGTATGACTAAATTTCCCAAGGCGTAAATGGCACAAATTGTGCTCAAATTTTAATTTCTTGAAATATTGGGGTTGGAGGCATGCAGCTTTTATACTGTTAATTCCAATTAAATGATATAAACATTTTTTATGTAAATCTTATAATGTTTATTTAACATACTTTATGCTGGGAAAATCTCTGTTGCAGAGGAAATGTTTTAATACACTTACAAAAACATTAATAAATATTTAATAATAGAATTTTAAATGAAATTTGATTTTGATACTACTTTTAATATAATTTTATAATTTAGCTTCATAACATAACATAAAGTGTTTCCTTTGTAGAAAAAAAATCCCTTCTGCGCCTTTCTCCGACATATAATTTTTCAAACATTAAAAAAAATAAAGTGTAAAGCAAACTTTCAATATAATACTATACAGTATTCAATATATACATGTATAATAAATTCTATTTTGTTAATTAATTGTAATTTATAAACATTCATTGTGCATTTTATGCAAAATATCTCCAAATATTTTCGATTTAAACAAATCTGTCACAGCTGCAAAAGATCTCTCGCATACTTCTTTTTAAAGAAGCAAACTTGAATATTTAGTGCTCGGTAACTATTAATAAACATGTATATACAAAATAATACCGTTGTGTGGTCACCGCAGTTTCTGTACGAAATCTTCCGATGAGAGGCGAAATGTGAAAAATCTCGCCCCTTCACAGTTCGCAATGGTTAGACTTTGTTTTAAATGTTTATGATTTATACAATGTCAAATGATCAAACATGATCCACAAAGCATCAGGCACCGAGCTTTATTAAGCATAAACACTACATAATGGAAATAAGCGAAAGCTAACATGCAGTTATCACGCCATGCGAGCAATAAATCATAATTATAAGTCACACTTTAACAAAATCCATCGTGTAATTGTCGATGTACAAAAGGATGTAGGAAATAAAAAATAGTCGATTTCTACAAAAAAGGAATACAAAAAAAGAACTAAACTGTAACTAGTTTGTATAGAGCATGAAGAATGGTAGTTTATACATATAAGGTATATGACGTTTAAAAGCCAGTACGATAAATGGCCTGTGCAATTTCAAGAGTTATCACTTAATAAAAGAATTAGTCACTATGCAAGTTTGAATGAAATAGTGCAAAATGGAATCAAGCATAATGCAAAGTATAAATATCACAAAGCAAGATGGAATCAAGCATAATGCAAGCTGCAATGCCATCAAGCAAGATAGAATTTATGCATTAATTCTGTTCCATAGTTCCATAGCCTTGTGTGTATTTGTCTTCTGTTTTTTTTTATACTAGGTACATATTCCTGTATTTGTTTTCATCTACAAATTACGAAAAAAATGTACGTATAACGTTTGAAATGTTACGTTATGAAATTATCTATTTTTTTCAGTTTAACATAACTTTTAAATCCGGGGCAGCAGTCGTTATTCAGGGTGGCAGCTTTCCTCGCGTTTTCATACGTTCTGCGATACAAGATTATAATGCTACTCTAGGTTTGTGTGGAACATTCAATGGAAACTAGCACGATGATCTTACACGTCCAAACCACCACGTAGATAATTTTTCAGACCCTCATCTGCTTCCGGATTCGTTTGTACATGCATGGAGGTAACAGCTACTAGGTTCATTAGAATGAAAAACATATTTAAAAAAAATCATTGACATAAGTGTCATGTTTTAGACCTATTTCGCTTTTTCGAATATTAGACCTTGCCTGCGTAAAAAATGAAATTTTGGGATATTTCTTTACATATAAATAAGGCCAATGTATGACGTCTTTGATGATACTTGCTACATTTATATTTAGATAATGTCGACTTCGTTTAAAAGAAATATATTGGCATTCTGAATATGCTTTTGTTTCTGTAAATGAACGTGTTACAATAATATAGAGAAATATGTTTTTATAAAGAACACCGCGAAGTCAGCATATATAAACACTCAATAGTTAACCAAAACTTAAACCAACATGTACAAACAGTCAGTATGACCTAAACTTTATTAAACATATATAAACAGTTAACAGTGTACCTAAACAAGCATGTTTAATCAGCCAAAAGTTGCCCAAAATTTAAACAAGCATATATAAACAGTAAATAGTTGACATAAATTTAAACAAGCATATACAAGCAGTTAATAGTTGACTTAAACTTAAACAAGCATATATAAACAGTTAAAAGTGGACCTAAACTAAAACAAGCATATTTATTTTCCAATGAATTCATAATAAAAAAAAACAAGCATATATAAACAGTCAATAATTGACCTAAACTTTAAGATCCTGTATCATAATTTTTGTGTCGCATTAAAAAAGGCGACATATAGGGGTTACTTTTGTCGGCGAGGTCGTTGTCAGCGTCGTTGTCGGTGTCGGTGTCGTCCGCGTCCACTTAAGCTTGTCCGGAGCATAAGTCAGTCTTTATAAGTCGGACTGACTTCATACTTGGTATGCATGCTTCTTATAATGACCTGAAGTGCAGTGCACAAGAACCAGTACTCTGCACTTCTTAATTTTTGAGTTATAGCCCTTTGTTAATTTTCATACTGTATTTTTGTCCGGCCATTTCTCCTAAAGTAAAAAAGCTATGGACTTGAAACTTCATAGGACGATTGATCTCATTAGAAAAAAAATGCAGTGCATAAGAACCGGTACTCTGCATTTCTTATTTTTTGAGTTATAGCTCTTTATTAATTTTCATACTTAATTTTTGTCCGGGCCATTCTCCTTAAGTAAAAAAGCTATGGACTTGAAATTTCATAGGATGATAGATCTCATTAAGAAAAAGTGCAGTGCATAAGAACCGGTACCCTGCATTTCTTATTTTTTGAGTTATTGCCCTTTGTTAATTTTCATACTTTATTTTGTCCAGGCCATTTCTCTAAAAGTATGAAAACTATTGTCTTGAAATTTCATAGGATGATAGATCTCATTAAGAAGAAGTGCAGTGAACAAAAACTGGTACTCTGCATTTCTTATTTTAGAGTTATTGCCCTTTGTTTATATTCATACTTTATGTTTGTCCAGGCCATTTCTCCTAAAGTATAAAAGCTATGGTCTTTTAACTACATAGGATGATAAATCTCATTGAGAAAAAGTGCAGTGTACAAGAACCGGTACTCTGCACTTCTTATTTTTGAGTTATTACCTTTTATTAATTTTCATACTTTATTTTTGTCCAGGCCATTTCTCATAAATTATAAAAGCTATGAACTTGAAACTTCATAGGATGATAGATCTTATTGATAAGAAGTGCAGTACAAAGAACTGCTGCTCTGCACTTTTTATTTTTTTGAGTTATTTTCCTTTGTTAATTTTCATATTTCATTTTTGTCCAGTCCATTTCTCCTAAACTATATTGTTCACAAAGCGACACATCCGACTCGCGAAGTTCTAGTTTATGGTTTTATATCATAAATATGATGCTCAAATTAAGATTTATCAATATTTTAAGTTCCAAAAAGTATTATTTATAAAGATATTACCGAATTTAACAGTTCATGTAAATAAAGGGAGGAAATTAGAAATTTGTCTTCTATAAAGTTAAAATTTTCAATAAGAAATTAAAACATATATTTCAATGATTATATATAATGTGCACAAATATGTGCAGTACATATTTTACATTTTCTTCGATGTTTGAAAATTGTTTTATAAGCATAATTATATACATATATAAAATTTCACTTTAGTGTGGCAACAACCTAACCAGGCCGCAGAGCTCAATCGGTTAGAGCGCGAGACTTGTAATCCCGACATTGTGGGTTCGATTCACGGGCTGGCCAACTAAAATTACTAATCAGTCTTTCGGATGAGACTTTAAATTGAGGTCCCGTGTATGAATGCTTAAATACTCGGCACGTTAAAGAACCAGGAGAAGCTTCTGGAATTGGTGCATCTTTCTGTATTTTGCACTATCCTCCAAAAATATAAAATGACTAATACTCTCCTGGAGGACTCGCCCATATGGGTAGCGAGTATAAATAAACTCAAATATACTAACGTGCTAAAAATTTTACAATATATATTAAAACAAGTATATATTAACAGTAAATAGTTAACTCTAACTTAAACAAGGATAAATACACATAAATATGTCCGCAGTTGCTTGTTTTCAATTTTTGGCAATTGTTGAACGCCATTATAAGACCTAATTGAAATGGCACGAGTAAAACTTAAAGAAAACGTTTATTCACAGCACGAGGCATGTCATATTCTGAATCAATGAAATCTTACAGGTTATTTATAAGGTTTTACAAAATATGTCTGTTTTATGTACTACCAGAAACGCTGCAATTTTGAAATGACCGCCATTAGAAAAGAGTTTCTTTTTTTTGCGTAATAACCTTATAGTATGAGTTGAAAAAAAAGATTTGTTTTAAACAAGCATATATAAACAGTCAATAAATTGTTTAACTTAAACCAACATGTATAAACAGTTATAGTTGACCTTAACTTGAACAAGCATAATATAAACAGTCAACAGTCAATAAATTATTTAACATAAACAGTTATAGTTGACCTTATCTTAAACTGGCATATATAAACAGCCAATAATTGACCTAAACATTTACAGTTAATTAATAGCCTTAAATTTCGTAAATCCCCACACCGCTCAACACTCTCTTTACTGACACAGACAAAGACAATCTTTCCTAATTTCTTATTTTGCAAAAGAATTTAATATACAATTGTGACCAAACAACATCATTTTTAAGAATAAAATGTAGATCTGTTTTTCATTCCCTAACACAGTTTTTGAATTACACGCTTGCGTCGTAACAAAAACAAATGTTGTTTTTATTTCTGTTTTGAGACAGTTCCAAATCAATAGTGTTTTAAAATAAAGAAAACCTTTCATTCCAAAAATTGATTCTTTGCAGTGTCCTTCTGGGTCATGTGCTGTTCCTGAATTTTATATATGTATATGAGGGGTTGGGGTAGGAGTGGTGGGTGCGTTCATTAAATGACGCCCTTCCATGCTGAGTTGTGTTCTCATATTTTATTGAAATGATATCAACAACGACCTCTTTGTTTGCTTCTCTTTATCAATTTATTTTACAGAGTTCCAATTGGACAGTCTCTCTTTGATCAATATGGCAGAAAGAAACGAGGGGGCGATGGCAAGGAATAGAAGCTTTCTGAAGGTGACGTTTCAAGTTTTGTAACACAATGTAAAGGATATTATCTTACTTTGCCAAATTTAGAACTGGTCGATGCTTTTTACTTATCTTTTTATTCATAGATACGTTAATATCTAAACCGTCAAAGACGTATATTTTATATATAACACATGGGTTTGTGGGTAACAGTAAACATAATCCTGAGGAAAATACTGTTACCCGATGTGTATCAAAGAATACAGCTCTAGTTTGTTGTCTAAAGCTTTACAGTTAACTGGTTTACAGAATTATTTAGTGACGACTGTCAACAGATAAAGGCATTCAAAAGGTTAGATTTTAATAATTTTGAAAGAAAAACAAATTCATCGTTGTCGATTGGGTTTCTAAGTATAAGAATGCTTTGTTTGTTAGTTGGAGAGACGTATCGTTTTGATTAGTTTCTACCAGTCCTTCTGTGTGGTAGAGTCTGACTTGAGAGACTGCCAATTACAAGAAGTGATTATTTTTAGCCGTCCGTATTAGTGTGACTATTTCATTACTAAGTTCTGTTAGTATTTGGCTCCTTGGTAGTATTTTTTGCGCTTATATATTACTTTCTTTATACCTGTTGTTAAGCATGGAGCATGCTTTTATAACCGCTTATAACCCAAATGCTTACTTGTCTCGTTAGAATGAATGATTTATATAGTTCTAGGAGTTTGTTAGTAAGAGAGGAAGTATAGCTGTTGATGGCATCAGTTCCATTGGGTGTTGCTAATCATGTTTATTTTATATTTCGTCAAAATAGTCATTGATCAATAGCATATTTATGTTAACATATTTTTCAGTTGATTGACACGAGAATCATGCAATTAAGCCGACTGGACGGAACTTAAATAATCTCGGTTACTCGATGTATATTAACAAAATAAACATGTAGACCTTTCAATTGCTGTTATGACAGTCGTCAAGATTTTAATCCCACTTAATAACAACCTCACTTTTTTCGTAATGCTAATTTACAATAGGCCTCTGGGAGTTATTTTTACTGTTAATGCAAGTGTACCACGTGACTAACAATTTTGTACTGTAACATAGGTAACAGTATTTTTTAACAGTATAAAATCTGGTCAAGTGGTCTATATTCTACATAAAATGAAATAAAATGGCCGCCATTTTTTCTCGATTCATTCTTATTTTCAACGTTAAACCCCGATAAGACATCAATGTCTTCTCTGGGGTAACTATGACACTCATAAAATTTAGTTGTTTGCAACCTGGTGTGCTTTTCGCGTATAAAATATCTTTTTGTTGAATAGTCAAAAAGTGAACATCCGTTTTCAACGGAAGTAATTGCAATGTAAATAATTATGTGTCAAACTGGAACATGCAGGCGGTTTAAGCATGCAACAAAGGATTGTTTAACAATTTTAATCAGTGAAACGTTACAGATATGGTGGAAAGACATAGGATATCATCGTTATTTTGTCAAAAACCATGCTAAGAATATTCTGGAAACAGAAGGATCAGATTTCACAGATCATAACCGTGTAAATGGGTTAGTGTTTTGTTTTCTAAATAAAACCTAGCTTATTGTATGTTTATGATTTGTAGATATCATCACTTGCTTAAAGAATAAAGGAAAAAGAAAACTTCTCAAGTATGCCTAAAGTACACCTAAAACTTAAAAGGTAAGGACAGTTTAGTTATTGTTACTCTTGGTTTATTTTTGTTACAGTTAGATTTAGTTGACAATTTCAGATCATCACAATATTTTTGTTCGGGGTAATAAAATAAATAACACATGGGTTTGTGAGTAACAGTAAAAATATCATCCCTCGTAAAAGAACTGTTAACCTCGACTACGCCTCGGGTAACAGTATTTTCCTCGGGATGATATTTTTACTGTTACCCACAAACCCATGTGCTATTTATATAATATAACCTTTATCACATGACTGTTTTCTCAGTAGGTATATTTCCGTCTTTCCAAGAAGGCATACACTGTCCTTAACTTATACATAGTAAATCTGTGGTTTGTAAATCACATATGTTACAGAATTTTGTCGATTTATCAAAGTTTCTACTCTAGTTAATAACAGTAGAGCTATTGGTGAAATTGTTCCTACTGCTATGCCGGATCATTCACTACTAAAATGGTCTTTAATTGTTCAATGCGATATGAAAATTTACTCTGAGGGTGATGGTTCTAATTCATCGTCTACTAAATTTGATGTTAAGAATATACCAGATGATTTTATGTTGAACCAAGACACTATAAACGATATAATATCACTATATCTAAACTTGAAAGTAGTTTTAGAAACCAAGCTGATATTGATAACGTATATGATGATTGGTGTGATATTGTTCAAAAGTCTATGTACAAAAATGTAAAACCATTTGACTTTTAAACACGTTTCCTCTGGTAACCACAATAAAAGACGACGCCCAGGTAAACCATGGTGGTCAGAAAAGTTAACTGATTAATAGAATCGAGTATGTTCTGCTGAAATATCCTGGTTGTCTTGTAACATAAGGAGCTCTAAAATTACATTGAAATCTGAGTTCGTAAGCATCCGTAAAGTGTTTGACCGAGAGGTTCAGAGAGCTAAACGTCTTTACTGGTATTCTCTGCAGGATCAGTTGTTAGATGAATGTAGCGTCGATACAACTAAATTCTGGAAATCCATCGGAAAAATCGGAGTAAATTGCTCTAAAAGTAACCCTATCCCAATGGAAGTTCTTCTAAATGATGGTTTGATTTCGTCTAGGGTTGATGATGTATTGGCTAGATGGAAGACAGATTTTAGCTCTCTGTTCCATTCTGTCACTCATACGGATAGTGAATTATATACTTTTGTTGACACTTCACACTCAGAAAATATTTCCTTTAATGATCATATTTCCGTCATAGAGGTTCATAAAGCATTGGCTAATGCCAAGAAAGGTAAATCTTGTGGAATTGATAACATTCCAGTTGAGGTGCTTACCAATGATTCTGCTCTTTCTTTTTTGCATGTTTTATTTAACATTTGCTTTGATAAAGGTATAGTTCCTACTTTATGGAGTAAATCTGTAATTTGCCCGATACCAAAATCATCTACCTTAGATAAACGAGACCCTTTATCATATAGAGGCATATCACTTGCACCTTCAATGTATAAACTGTATTGTTATATTTTAAATAATCGATTGAATCTTTGGACGGAATCAAATGTAAAATTGTCAGATGAACAGAATGGATTCAGAAAAGGTCGTAGCACCATAGATCATATTTTGTCTCTTAATAACATTATTGATACAAGAAAGAAAAATAAATTGTCAACATTTTGTGCCTTCATCGATTTTAAGAAAGCTTATGATAATATAAATAGAAATATACTTTGGAAAAGATTGTATGATATTGGTGTATGTGGTAAGATGTTATCTGCTGTTCAATCTTTGTATGTATCTATGATGTCATGTGTTCGAGTTAATTCATTTAAAACAGAGTGATTTGACGTGAAATGTGGTTTACGTCAAGGATGCATTTTATCTCCATTGCTTTTTAATTTATTCATCAATGATTTAACATTATTTATTAAATCTTTTGATCTGGGTATAAATATTGGTAATGAAAAACTTTGTATCATGTTATACGCTGATGATATCGTTATATTAGCTGATAATGCTCAAAATCTACAGATATTGTTAAATGCCTTAAATGACTGATGTTCGTTGAATGATATGACCGTTAACCCTATAAAAAGTAATGTAATTCACTTCCGCCCGAAAGCTGTTCAACGTACGAGTGATGCCTTTAAATGTGGTAATAATGTATTAAACATAGTTGATAGATATACTTATTTAGGTGTCATATTACACGAGCATCTCGATTATTCAGTAACTGTTAAAGCTGTTAATCAGAGTGCTAGTCGCGCATTGGGTCTTTTAATTGCAAAATGCAAAGGCTTAGGTGGTGTTCCATTTTAAGTTTATTCGAAATTATAGCATAAAATCGGCTATTTTCCCCTATTTTGCCCATGTTATAACGGGACCAAAACCATGTGTTAACATAGTCACGCGCTCTTGTTATAGCCCGGTTTCACCTATGCGCAATACATACAGGGCCCAGTAAACAAACAAACCGAAGAGTCATGCGCTCTTGTTATATTGAAATTTATTGATTCGAGGGTCTCAGTCGCATATTCAAGTAACTATGCCGGAAAAACGGCGTATAGACATCGGTGCTAACCTTGGTTGTCGCCCTTTCTAAGAAACGGACAGTTGTCAATGTAAACAAATACAGTAGAATCTACCTGTCATTCAGTTTAACACTCCAATTAACTTACAAAACTAGATAACACAAAATTAATATGAGAAAATGTTTTTTATTTATGTTAATGTTGATAAATTGTCTTTATATTTCTTTGATAGAATAATGCTTAGTGCCTGATTTTTTTATAAACTTGTTTGCTTGAAAAAAAAAACCGATTCTGAAGTCACTGATCTTTTTTACTACCGACAATCTGAAATCATTCTAAGAATTTCTGAGGGTCATTATTTGTCTTGGGTAGAGGGTAGAGTAATGTGACGTTTTTTTTCTTCAGATAATAAATCTCCAAAGGCCAAGCTTTGTTAAATTAATTAAAATTCAAAATTTCGTTCGGTTCCGAGAATTTTCCAAGTTGTTGGCCCCGGAAAAATGAAACGCATACGTAAAACATAGAATTGGATAAATACCGTCCAAGCACAAGACTTTAATGTAATTGTGTTTTGTATAAACTATACATCACGAATCTGTTTGAAAATTTTATGCTATAATAGCGTCAACGCACGTTTATTTCGTGTTATAAAGTCTGCAGAGTCCCTCGGAACTGTTGGAGCCCTCGCCCTACCGGGCTCGGGCACCAACCGTTCCTCGGGACTCTGCAGACGTTATAACACGGAAAAACGTGCGTTAACCCTATATTGTATGACTCTGTTGTTTGGCCTGTAATAAGTTATAGTGCACCTCTATGGGGTGCTCGGTCTTATTCGTGTATTAATGCGGTTCACAACAGAGCGCAACGCTTTTTTCTAGGTGTCGGAAAGTACACTCCTAATGATGGTGTTTCAGGTGACATGGTTGGATTCCTCCGTCAGTTAGGCAGTGGAAATCTACGGTGTCCTTATCGTGCCATTTAGAATGTCGTCCGTCGCGTCTAAGGGTAGACACACGACAATGCGAAGTGACATCGCGACAATGCGAAGCGACGCTCGACAACGCGAAGCGATATGCGACAATGCGAAGCGACGCTCGACAGTGTCAAACGATATGTCGCACTGTCGCCTAGAAATGTCGCGGTAAAAAAGGGCGACATTTAAGAAATGTCGCTTCGCGTTGTCGAGTGTCGCTTCGCATTGTCGAGCGTCGCTTCGCGTTGTCGCGATGTCACTTCGCGTTGTCGCGATGTCACTTCGCGTTGTCGCGATGTCACTTCGCGTTGTCGCATTGTCACTTCGCATTGTCGAGTGTCGAGGTTGGTAGAAGTGCATACCACGACACTCGACAATGTGAAACGACAACGCGACAATGCGATACGACGCTCGACAATGCGAAGTGACACTCGACATCGCGAAGCGACATTTTTAAAATGTCGAGTAAATGTCGCGTTATTTTTATGATTTTTACACCGCGACGCTCAACATTGCGAAGCGACACTCGACAATGCGAAGCGACACTCGACAACGCGAAGCGATACTCGACAACGCGAAGCGACACTCGACAATGCGAAGCGACATTTGGAATAATATCGTATCGCATTGTCGTGCGTCTACCGGTGCTTGGTCAGAATTTACTAACTCACCGACAAACGGTGCGATCATGGAAGGGGTCGCACTAAACTGCTGACGAATTAGCTGACGATATAGATATATAGGAAACTGCTGACCAGTTAAATAAAGAAGGATTATCGGAAAATGCTG